TGCTAAACCTTGAAGAGGCTTGAAATAGTTCTAAAAGTAGATCGATGTTCTCAAACGAGATTTCTAAAACAGTCGATTTAGAAACATTATTTATAAGAACAATTTATATCAATGAACATTGCCGAGTGACATTATCCATTTGGACGCTGATCCACCGAGAAAGAGTCGACTTGAACGACAACGAAAACGAATAATTGTGGACGATCGACTCAAATTATTAGTTCTGAAGAAACGAAGACGTCGAAATATCGGCTGGATAAAGTTCAGTTTTCAACCACGTGATATTAGCTAAATTACAAAATAAAGTGTTATTGAATGGAAATGAGGGGGACAGCCGGTTTCGAAGTGCTTAATAATTTCTTCACAACCATTCACTACAAAAACTACGAATTTCGTTGCAGCGAGCACTAGGACCTTCACTGCCAGCGGGCCCAGCAACTTACCTATTCTCGCGGTTTACTCTGAGAACAAAGTAATCACTACTCTATTCCCTGGAATTGCAACCAGCAAGGATGCTGTTCAGGCATTGGCACAACGTTTTGCAATGCAAACAGTGAGTTTACAATTCGAGCATTCCATTCTTTTTCGTGAATTGTGAAAAGTCGTATGAGATGAGCTGCAATTTTTCCACAGATCTTCAATCTCTAAAGCTAGCCTAACTTGACAAAGTTCACGTATATTCTGAAAATACTTCACAGCCACTCTTCGAATAGTGATGATTTACGTTTTAGGTCGTCGATGTTCTCGAAATCGAAGGTCGGAGAGCACTCTTGCCTGATATAGTGATCTCCAACATTCTGGGTCAACTTCAAGTTAATACCACTTACGAACCATTACAATGTCAGATGTTCATGGAGCCAGATAAACAACGTAAGTCTCCAGTAGTGGACATTCATTTAGGAAATTCCAATCCGGACTATAAGGGGCATTCTAAAAGCAGAGTTGTACCTATTTTTTTTTTGCAAACAGAGATATTTTCTATAAACTTATTATGAAATATCTCAGAGTTCAAAGAAAACTGTCATAGAGCCATAACATCAAAATCTTTCAATTGAGAATAACTTTTCGAATGTTACTACATACATACTTTATTTTCAGAATGATACAGTATTCAGTGTCTTAAAAAGTGAACTTTGGTAGGTTTTGAGAAATAAAAGAAAATTAGTGCAAAAAGAAGTGTTTCTAAGACTCATAGTTTCTAGAAGACCCCAGGATTGAAAGCTGTATTCACGTCGGTAGCACGGTGACGGGAATTTGCCCAATGAATGGGGGAGTGCGTATGACATGTGCGATGGTTGCAATGCCTATCAACAGCAAACACTTGTCCCTCTCAGGAACTCTCACGGTTTGGACGGTTTTCTTATTGCACATTTTCGTCTTATAAAGAAAAAATTCTATGTAGACTACGAACATCGTCATGGCTAATTGGTCGAGGTCGATGTGGCAAAATGTTGTGGACAGAGCTCTTCGATTGTTAAGATCGGGTCCGTTTGGTTCGCATTTGTACACGGTAACGGTCACTGTCAGCTGAAATCGAAAGTGAACTGTGATTTTCATGAGAGAAACATTTTTGTCTAATCGATGTTCATTGTGGCAGTACACTATCAATAAACAAGCAACCATATGGGTGCTGAACAATCAGAGTGAAGAGCAGTAAATTGTATTGAAATGAGTAATTTTCTTCTGTTTAGCCGTTCCGAAGTGATATTGATATCATTTATCAAATACCAGCGAAGCAAGCAACAATACAGCTAGTAATGCAGCTTGAATAAACAATATTCGAGGTGGCTATCGTTTCGGCGGGCGCCTTCTTCAGAGCCTGGAAAGATCATATTGATCCACAATTCATCAAGCCAAAACCCCCATAACTATAGCAGAAAAACGTTAGAAATTAATTTTGGATTACAGGGTAAAAACTTCATTCTAAACACTCATCGTTTTGATGTTTTGTGTCTATCAATTATTCCTTGAAGAACAGCCGCTCAGGGTTAGTGCATCAGTGGGCTGTGCCTAACTCAGACCGGAAATATCAGCCTCAGGCATCGTTCGAAGTCACGCGCGAGGCACCTCTCATTTGGTTCATTTTTGGGCCTTTTCTATGTATTCAAAAAGCTTTTATATCGAAATGCACAATGTAATGAATTTGTTCTCACTACTTTACTTAAGAAGTAATTGAAAAGTTCTCACGTGCATTTTTTACAGGCCGAATTTCTGCTGTGAAATAAGTACATTATAGGGCTTGGAATAGTAGCCGGAGTTGATTTACAGCAGCGCCGCTCTGAAGTTTCAGCTAAAATTTCACTCATTCGCCTATCGGAAGGTTGCGAAATTCCATCTCCACGCATTCACATTATGGGTGCTCTGAAATTAATGCCAATGAATGTGCTCGCTTTTGTAGATATTAGTCATATCCACAATGGAAGTTGGTAAGTAGAAACATTAATGAAAGCATTTGATATTTTAAATTGGCAATGCACGAAGAGCTGCCTCTTGTCTCAAGAAAAATTTCCAAAATGATGGATAAGAATGTAGTCGTTCAAAAGATTCTAAACGCTCCCTGACGATAGATTCATTAGGTTTTATTACATCTATTTTAATGACTTCTCTAGAAGCTGCAAAAACAAAACCACTGTTAAAATTTGAGTGCCTGTTCTAGCGAATTAAAGGGGTAGTTGACAAGGGTAAGCTATTCTAACACTCTCGAGACAAGTAATCTTCAAAGTATGAAATCTGAAATTGCCGGAGAGGACGTATTGACTTCATGGTCAATTTTACGATCGCTCATTTCAACATATAATTCGTTTTCTTACAGTTTTTAAGACTAATCAATTTTCTACCGAACACAGATGATGTGGCGGGCGAAGACCGTAAGACGATGTCACATGAACCACTCACCTCAAATTCAGGAAAACCTGTTGGACGACTCCACTATTTTGGAGTAGGTCATTATCACGTTGAAAAACACTGGCCAGTCGTTCTTCGCCTTTTCTCCGGTATATAGAATGAATGGACCGATTTTTGAATTTAATTGCATTTTTCTGGATTCCACTTGATATTTGACGAATGCCCACATAGCATGAATGAAAATTTACTTGTGGACCATCGCATCGAATAATACGACATTAAGGACAGAGATGACGAGATATTAGCCGAATAATACATGTTACTAACCTCATTCTAGCCTAAGAATGCAAGAAAATGAACAACTGCGTATGCCGAGATCAGATCAAAAGCCGACTTTTCTGAATATATTGGGTTGTCCCATAATTTCGTTCGCATTTCGACACTTTTCAGCATAATCACTATCATCCTATATATTATGTAATAATATAGCCCGATTACAAGACTTATTGAAGCTTCACGAGAGTACAAACAACCACTCTGTCTCACTTTCATCGATCTGAAGAAAGCCTTTGATTCAGTGGAAACAGAAGCGGTTATAGAGGCTCTAGATAACCAGGGCGTCCCTACTTGACATAATGATCCTTCGTGAGCTTCATAAAGATTTCACGACCAAAATATCTCCATTCTACAACAACATCACCATTGACGTAAGAAAAGGGGTTCGACAAGGCGATACAATATCGCCAAAACTATTCACTGCCACCCTACAAAACGTCATGCGAACATTAGAATGGGACGATATGGTAGTGAAAATTGACTGTCGATAATTAAACCATCTTCGCTTTGCTGACGATATCGTTCTCATAACACAAACATCAGCCAAGCGGAACGAATGTTGACCGATTTCGATAACACCTGTGGAAAAATAGGCCTTCAACTAGATCGAACGAAACGATGCTCATGAGGAATGGATGGGCTTCGAATGCCCCATTCACGCTCAACGGACGACAATCTCCGAATGCTCCAGTTACGTCTATCTAGGTCGTGAAATCAACATGATGAACGATCCAGCTCCTGAGCTGAGCAGGAGGAAACGAGCAGCTTGGGGAACGTTTAAGAGCATCGAAGATGTAGTGAAGAGGACAAAGAACATACGACTCCGTGCCCACCTTTTCGACTCCACAATTATCCCTGCCCTAACGTATGCAGCAGAAACCTGGTCGCTACGTAAGCAGGATGAAAGATCACTTGGCGTTATCGAACACGCAGTCGGAAGGTCGATGCTAGGAGTGCTCCGTATCTCGCAAATGAGAGAAAGAATTTGAAGTTCCGACCACATGAACGATCGAAAATCAAAGACGCCGTTCTACACGCCAGGATATCGAGAATAAGGTGGGCCGGACACGTGATGCGCCTCAATGACAGCCGATGGGCGAGAGCCGTTACCGACTGGATTCCTCGGGACGTCAAGCACTCTAAAGGAAGACCACCGACCCGTTGGTCCGATTTCTTCACAAAAGCGATAGAAGAAAGATATGATGCTCAGCGAATCCCTAGAGCGAGGAGGACCCCCTGGACTACTCTTGCACACGACAGGGAAAAATGAAAGAGTTGCTAGTACCCGCTCGAGTCACTCGACGATCAACGGGACGACAGGTGATACAGGTGAATATAGCCATGCATTCGTCTTCGATTTTTAACTTCGTTTGAGGTGATCTCCTATATGTGAACACCGATCATATCGTTATAACAAGGAAAATTTAACTAAATGTCGGCATCGTCCCATACTTTGAATCTGATCACGACATTCTCCGTATAAATATTCCATTCAGATAGGAGATGATCAAGAAACTGTCATCGAGTGAAATTAGCAACCCGCATGAAACGAATCCGTTTTTAACAATGCCATATATATTATGGCAGGCACAAAATTGAGGATTCGACGCAAAACTACGGGAAGCTGCTAGAAGTTTTCTGATGCTGCTTTCTGTAAAATCTTCTTAGCTCCAAGATAAATTCTGCACGTTGACCAAGCGTGATCAAACATCATGAAGAAATAAAGTCTATGCTATAGATTTCTAGTGTTTTTAGTGCTTTCATCGCAGTATTGGATGTTTCTCATACACTTAAGAGAATTGAGTGGTGAGCAAAAACACGGCCTTAGGCAGGAATCGAACCCGCATTCCATTCTAACAGGGGACTCGTGCTACCACTACACCACCGAGGTGCTTTTCTATTAGGTATATGTAGAGCTTTTGCACTAAATTGCATCTGCTGCCTTCTGCTATGCTCATAATAAAAATGGTTTCCAACACTAGCTGCTGGAGGTAGAGGACAGCCTTTATCGATATGGAGACAAGCGTATTAAGTGACACATTGTGCTAATGTGATGCTCAAAAGACCGTTATCGAGATGAAAAAATCTCTGTCAAATCTTGATTGAGAATGGACTGCGTGGGAGCAACAAGTTAAAGAAAATTTCCAATGGATGCGCCAATTCCTCTAGTTGCTCGGCTTATACTCGGTTCCCACCTTCTTATTTCTGATTCTGCGACAGTCGACAAAGCGCCTGAATCACAACTGCAAATTTGAGAAAAAGTCTTCCAGAGAAAATATTGATTGATAAAAACTAAGCGCAATTCTCATTTTAGAACATTTTTGGTAAGAAACTTCTAAGCAAAAACTGTTTTTGTGAAACTTTGATGTTCTTGTTAGCCTCCTACATTTAGCACGCTCATAAGTTATAGTTCTAACGGAATGGTGAACTGATACCCAAATTGAGTAGATCTGTAGAATTTCAATTGTATGGTTAAGAAATATACGTATAATTAGATCTTAGCAAAAATCCACTAATATGAGGACGTTAACGGAAAATCGTGTCAGAATTGGGTCCTAGAATAAACAGCTGCATGAAGAAATCGTTGCCGTGAGATAGGGCAATACTTTCCACCGACGAAATCGCCAATGTATTGAAAAGGGAAAGCACAGTGGACGATGAATGTTTAAGAATGTAGTTGATGTGATGATAAGCAGACGTTACTCTGTTCATCTTTTCAAACGTTTCAAAGTTGATGTTTACAGAACGCCGTCTTTCCGCATTTTCCGCACGATGTGCAGGCAAAACAAAATTTGTTATTACACATTCCATATAGTGGAATCTCATTTCTTCGTGTAGCTTCTACAATCCCTCGGTCTCTCCATTTCTGTGATGTTTCAGCAAAATCGTTTAGAAAGTTTGGAGTTTTCTTCACTACACTAAGTGTTCAATTCGATCAATCAGTTTTCGAGGTTTGAAGACCTGAAGATGTCTACCCACTATAACTCTTCGTGATACTGCTGTGTTACAGAGAAAAAAGCAACAAAATTTGATGCCATTCCGACATTTTCCCAGCTGCCTAAAGTTACTGGTCCTCATGCTCACTGAATTGTTGTGAAGCACGCGATGGCCGAGATTTCGAATTTTGAAGAGTTCTCAAGTGACCCTACATCTCCAACAAATTGTTAGGTTCGAAAAAAATTTCTGGACTACTTGCGGAAAACTGAAAATTCTCACATGAATTCCAAAAAAGAGCAATAATGACTACTACTCAAAATAAAGACCATCGTTTCTTACGACTTTCTGCCATCGGCTCGCCAAGTTTTGAAGCTTGTCAAAGTACAATTCTTTCGTCATCGTATCAAAGAACTCTTTGAGTGCATCTTCAGCTTCATCGAACGACTCAAACTTTGCTGGACTTCCTGAACGAAGCTCATCTTGGATGTCAAGATTTCCGGCATTGGGAAGTATTGAAACCAGCGTCCATCAGCGGATTTGCTTGTTGTGCCTTCCCTTTTATCTTCGTTGATTTCATCGTTTGCAGCTTGATGTGAAAGACCCTTCTCCAGTGATGACTCAATGAAACACGAATTGCGATTATGTCGTTAGACAGAGCGAGTGGGAAAATTACACATGAGAATGTGTAATATTTCCATGATATGCATGGAGGTTATTCCATGTTTATTGAAGTGCCCCAGAATTTTCTTTGCAATCGTTGTTACAAATGTTTTGAGAAATCATCTTTTCGCTGTGGAACTCTCATCCGAATAGTAAACGACATAGTGTTCTAAACAGAAAATTTCATCCTTTACAAAGTGCTGGCGAAAAGTTTCCGAGTTGAAATGTAGTGAATTTTGTTTCAGATACAAATTGGAAGCACCGTCAACGCTGTATTATCATAGATCTGTTTATGAGTTGTACAAGCCGTGACTGAAGCTGAATAAGCTATTGCATTTAAAACCCTTTCGTGTTTTGAGACTTCCGTGTCGTTGTGGCTGAATTACCGAACAACGAACAATTCCGCTAAAGTATTCTGCCTGCACTTTCAATACGATTTTGTTATAAATCACGAACTTTAAGACGCTTTTTTTTTGTACGGAATGCCATCACCTATATTTTCTGTTGTCTCTCTGATTGTCGAGTGACTACAGCGGAGCTTTCACTGTTCACCTAATACGCGAAACAGCCTCAGTAAGTCCTCCTCATTGAAGGGATTGCTTGGGCATCTTGTCCATCTAGAATTTTTGTCAAGAAGTTGGGCCGTATCAGGTGGCCTTCTATTATGTGCTAGACATTTCAAAGGGTACTTCCGGGTTACGTCTATCGTAATCCGCTGTCAGCAGAACGTATTATGTGTCCAGCCTAGGGTCTTTTTCCAAATCCACTCTATTGTTCTTTTCATTCTCCAGTCATCGTTCCATCTTGTTATAAAGACTTCCCCTTCATCAAACTTGTTTCTGATGTTGGTGCATATTTTGCTCTGCTTCGAAGACAGGGCATCCATCTAAGATGTTAACATGGAAACCTGGGCTCAGTGTTGAAAGCGTTCTTAAAAGACGTAGTTCTATTGAGAAATACTGGCATATGTTCCCGCGACATACTGTAAAACTGGGACTGTAGCGTCAAACAAGTGGATGTGTTAGGACAATGAAATTGGCCAGTGGTCTCTGACAAAAGTTCAAGCTCGGCTCACGCTGCTCGCTGTCTTCCGTCGAGTTGTATTTCAAGTTCTTATACACACTCAGGGAAAGTTTAAGAATCATGTAAGTTATGGTCTACCCAGCTGGTGATCCATCCGGTTCACTCCATTCTCCTTACACCAGGCTTCCTTCATAATTGGGTTTTGACATGATAATACTTAGAAGCCTCCACAATTCTTGAAGGTAATTGGAAGTAAGCCATGAGGGAGATTGTATGAGATCGGGCACAATTTATTTACTAACATGTAAAACATGCGGGGAACAATTTATAGGTGAAACGTGTAGACCACTTTTCATCCGCATAAAAGAACATCTAGATAGTAAATCTGAAAAAATAGACAAAACCAAGCCTTTAAGTTTACATCGGGGACAAAAACACGGCAACAAGTGTTTTGATGTGACTGACACAATCCTAGCGGAGAAATCAAATACATCCACGCGCAAAACTCTTGAGGCGTTTTGGATGAAAGCTCAAAACCTCGAAATAAACAGGAAGGATGAGTGCATCACCATCACGCGAGATTTCGCGTCCTCCTTCGTTTGATCTTTTAACCTGACCTAGGCAGCATATAAATAAGATCCTTCGAATCATTCAAAGAGACTAATACTACAAACGTCCAAGCTCTGAAGAAGGCGGATTGCCAAAACGTTAGCCGAATCGCTACGACTAATTTACCAGCCTCGCGTCAGCTAATAAAGATAAGTTTCCTCGATTTAGATTTAGTCGCACAGCAATCTCTTCAGAAGCGCTGTCGGAATAACTTAACAGTCTCTTCTTCTTAATGATGCTTGGTGTTATGACAGCGATGCTATCAGTGTAGCGAAGAAGAATAATTTTCATTTCCATGCTACCTAATTCCACTTTTGGCACGATGTATTGAAGGGGAGCGAATAATCTTAGAGAGATCGTATCGCGCTGTCAAAATTCATCTTCCTATGTGTCTAATAATATCGTAATGAAACGGCAATTTTATGAATGTGAAATTTTCGTGAATATCACGAAGAAATTTTACGTACCAAATAGGCAGTCTTTATGTTCCCGAAGCTCTCATAAATGCTCCCGTTTCAATTGAAACAAAAGTTTCCTTCCATTTGGAGAATTTGTGAGATGGAGCAGTCTCCTGTACTTCATATAACTTCAATGAGCCTTGTTTTCGCGTGGATGTAATCTACAATATCAAATCCTCTTCGAAGCACTACTTGTTCGCATAGCTGTCTTCCATGCAGCATTGTGTTAGCCCTCTTAGCATGACTCGCGTGAAGAGTCATACACAACAGGCAGCAAGCAGATATTGTGATGGTCGCCGGCGTCAAGAAGATCCCCTTCATGATCAATAACACGATATTGCTGGTATCCATAAACTGCGAACTTTGCAACCTGACGGGTAACGCGTTAGCGACAGAGCGAATGTGTGTATGAGAATGGCGAATGGTTCCGCAACTGTACCGATGAACCCTGTCCGGATCAGGTATTCTTTGAATTTCTGCCGACGGAACAGCATGTCGTATTTTGGAAAAGAGAGCCAGTAGAGCGACAAATTTAGCCTCTTTTATCTTATGTGTCTGTGAAAGGATATGCACATCGAAGAGATTGAGTAGTAATCGTGGAGAACTTCCGGTGAAGCCATTCTGAAAGCTGTACATCTTTTTTTTCAGAGCGTTTAGCTGCAGTCCTCTTGATGTTTTGTAATAAATAAAACTTTGATGAGCATCATGAATGCTTTCACAACTTCTACAATTTCTTATGAGTGCGCTCTTCTGTTTGAAATCTGCTTCCCTGTAGCGTTTGCAAATTTAATCTAGTTGTTAACTCAGTGCGGTTCAGCGACTCCTAGAAGGCGTATCGTCTTGAGCGCTCTTCAGTCAAACGTCTCCTAGTGATTCTCGATTTTCGCCTTTTATAATGTTAAGAAAAATTTTGGGTGGAAACGAATGTACTTTTCGTCGATGCTATCAGTGGCGGTATTTGCAGAGAGACCGACAATGTTTTGAAAAGATCCACATTCCACTGGTATCGGGATTTCGCTGTTGTGGTTTAGACTTTCTCTCCTTATTGTGAACAATTCAGTTTTGCACGAAGGAGGCGATGGTTAATGCCGGAAGAATTTTATGACAACGACGACATGGTCAAGCAAAACCTTTCATGTACTAAGATGTGGTGTATCTCGTTATGATACCACTGCCACTTCAAAATTGTTAGCCACCATAGATC